TATGACCCTCGAAACCGTCTGGATGTGATCCATGCAGCTGAATCCTTTGCGAAATCCAGCTTGTTCTTGGGGTTGGGCTTCATCCAGTGTCCTAGATATGCGTGCGAGGATAATCTTCGTGAAGAGCTTGTACAGCACACTCAGCAGGCATATTGGACGGTAATTTCGAAGATCTTCCCGTTCACCCTTCTTAAAAAGAAGGACGGTTCTTGACGTTCTCCACTGGTCGGGAATCCTCTCCTTCTGAAGGTAAGATGTCAGGTGCGACGCGAGAATCTCGTGTAGACGTTGTCCTCCGGCTCGCAGAAATTCGACGGAAAGATGGTCTGGTCCTGGAGCCGTGGATGTCTTCATGGTCTGAATCGCCGTGCGCACTTCAGCAGGTGAAATTCGTGGTGGTACTTCTCCAGTGGGAACAACGGGCATCGGCGCGGGTGTTGATGAGCGGAAGAGGTTGGTATAGAAGTTCTTCGCGATAGATTCCATCTTGTATCGGGAAGAAGTCGGAGTCCCGTCTTCGTTCAATAGTGCAGCCAGCGGTACGTGATATTCACAGAGGTCCCTTCGGCATTTCTTAAGACTTCGTCTTTCTTCGGCTGCTTCCAGTATCTTGGCTCGCCTGTACTTCCTGAGATCCTCCTGCAAAGCTGTTCTGCAACTGGCGTTGGCTATCAGTCGCTCGAGATGGGTTGCATTCGGATCCTGCCTCAGAAATCTTCTTCTTTCGAGCAATTCCTTGGTGGTCTTCGATATACGTTCCAAGTTCTTCTCAAAAGTCACTGAGGCACATTCTCCGCAGGCTCGCAATCCTTTCAGAAGCCGGTCGTAGTCGTACGTTGGGTCCTCCTCGATGGGCCAGTCACATCTTGATATGACCTCCTCCAGCCTGTTACCTTCGTAAACGACTTCCTTCCTTCTCGCGGCACTGTGACAGACTTTCTTTTCCAGCCTTCGGCTGAGTCGTATCTTCGCTCGAAGGAGGCGGTGATCGGAGCCACTGCAGAAGGATGGAACTACTGAGACATCGAGCAAGCTCCACCTTCGGTTGGCGAGAATGTGGTCGATCTCCGCGTGAGTCGTTCCGTTGGGCGATTCCCATGTCCACCGGCGATGTTCTTTCTTCATGAAGATGGAATTTCCATGGAAAAGTCGTGCGGCGGAGAGAAGCCCAACAAGACGGTTGCCGTTTTCGTTCCGGAACCCATATCCAAACTTCCCGATCCTATATTCCTTTTCTAGTGGCATCCCGATTTTCGCATTGAAGTCGCCCACAACATACTTGTAGAAGGACTTTTCGTTGCGGACGACCTCCTCCACGTCTTCGTAGAAGGCATCTAGTTCTGAGTCGTCAGCTGCTGATGTTGGAGAGTAGCAGTTGATGATGCTGATGGTCTTCTGACGTGGAGGGCGTAGTCGTAGGATGGCTAGTCGGGGTGATAGGATCTCGTGCGAATCGACAAGATGGACGATAGATGGGTGGACGACAAAGCCAACACCTCCCACGTTTCGTGATGGAACCTTCTCACCACGAATGATGAGTGTTCCATCATTCATCTGTCGCACGTCCTTCTTCCTGGACTTCGTTTCCTGCAGAGCGATGATGTGGTACTTGATGTGCTCTGCAGCGTCGAGAAGAGCGTGGAGGTCGGCGTTTGTGGAGACTGTCCTGGCGTTGTAGGTGCAGAGCATGAGGCAGTCACCGTGGCGTGTCGTCCGGGCAGACGTGTCGTTTTTGTCCAATCCAAAAGGCGCCCTGAGGACCCTGACATCAGTCTTGCTACCACCCGGCGCCGTAGGCGGGATCCGATGTACAGGGTTTCTTTTTATTCTTCTAACTGGTAGAGTAATGAAATTTTTCCCCTACAAGAGCAGACTTACTAGGCCAACTCTTGATTTCCACGGGGCGATCGCTGACCCCGGGCTTGGAGCGGGGGGAACCGCCTAGCGACCTGGAAACCAGACGGCGGCGGATCTGGCCTGGCCGGCTCTTAGCTAGGCATCCGGCCGAAACCGGAAACGTCGAACTCCTTCACAGCTTGGGAGGCCCTGCCAGAGTATACACTCGGCTGTGCATCGCAGTTCGACACCCAGTGTCACCCCCACGCCACGATGAGGCGGCCGACCATTGTGGGGGGGGGGGTGACAATGTTATGGATGTTTTTTGGAGCAAAAAATGAGAGTAGAATTTATGTAAAAAAGTAATTACGATATTTCCTGCGCTCGAGTAAAGCACTGATGAGTATAAGGGTATTAAACAGAAGTAATTCATCAAATGAAGTGCTGTGATATTAAGCACCTGACCAGTTGAGCAGTCTTCGACGATCTTGTTCCACTTGGCATTCAGTGACTTATAAAACACCCATAGGCGACTCCAGAGGCGCTTGGAAGATATGGAACACGGATTTGGAATCACCGCTCAATGCTCTACAAAATGATATAGGTGCCATGTGGAAAGGCCACTTCGACTATAAATGCCTCCCTTGTAAGCTTGCTCTAATCAATGAGTCAATGAGCGATTCCCAAAAAGGTAATTAGCGAACTGGGACAACGACAAATAGGTAGATAGGTATCGAATCAAAATCACCTATACTCTTAACGGCGATATAGAAATAAAGCGCTTTAAAGGCAGTGTCTCAATTGCGTTCCGTATTTTCCATCAGAAAAAAAAGCAAAATTTTTTTGGTACTTACTATGCTTCATTCCACACTTTGTCATACGAACCGAACCTATAAGAGATTTTTAGTCTAAGTCTTGTTGAGTAGCTTCTAATCTAACAGAAAATCAATTTTTACATTATAGTTTATGAAAATATTTCTGTTTCTGTCTAGACATTAATTGAAAATGAAATCTATGTTGCGATGTGGAGATTGAGTAAGCGTGAATAAGTAAGAACAATTGCAGTTTCGTTTCGTGATTTGGATCGAAAAAAATATTATTTTGACAAGCACTATGTCCCATTCCACAAACCTTGTCCTTTTCAGGACTTATGTATCTTCTTATATATAAAGCTGAATGTCTGTTTGTATGTATGTATGTATGTATGTATGTATGTATGTGTGTACGTATGTTCCGAATAGAAAATTCCATTTCTGAACCGATCCGGACCAAACTTGGCACACATACACTTCGGGCCCCGGCGGGTGTCATAGGCTACTTTTCGTCATCGATCGATATCGATTTTATCGATTTTTATCGATTTTTTGCTGAGTTCACCTACGGGGCTGGGAGTTGGCACAGGGGGGTAATCGAGCATGGGGATTCCGAATACAATATTGGTTTTCAGGATTATCGATTACTATTATCGATTTTATCGATTTTTTGAAAATTTGAGCTAGGGGGCTGGAATTTGGCACAGGGGGGTAATCGAGCATGCTGATCATCCCCAAGGGGGGTGATCAGCATGCTCGACTACACTCCTGTGCCAAATTCCAGCCCCCTAGCTCAAATTTTCAAAAAATCGATAAAATCGAAAAAGTAATGGACGATCCTGAAAACTAATATTGTGTTCGTAATCTGCATGCTCGATTACCTCCTGTGCCAAATTCCAGCCCCCTAGCTCAAATTTTCAAAAAATCGATAAAATCGAAAAAGTAATGGACGATCCTGAAAACTAATATTGTGTTCGTAATCTGCATGCTCGATTACCTCCTGTGCAAAATCCCAGCCCCGCAGGTCAAACTTTACAAAAAAAATCGATAAAATCGATAAAAGTAATGGACGGTCCTGAAAACTAATATTGTGTTCGTAATCAGCATGCTCGATTACCTCCTGTGCAAAATCCCAGCCCCGCAGGTCAAACTTTACAAAAAAAATCGATAAAATCGAAAAAGTAATGGACGATCCTGAAAACTAATATTGTGTTCGTAATCTGCATGCTCGATTACCTCCTGTGCAAAATCCCAGCCCCGCAGGTCAAACTTTACAAAAAAAATCGATAAAATCGATAAAGGTAATGGACGATCCTGAAAACTAATGTTGTATTCGGAATCCCCATGCTCACTTCCCCCCCCCCTGTGCAAACTCCCAGCCCCGCAGGTCAAACTTTACAAAAAAAATCGATAAAATCGATAAAAGTAATGGACGATCCTGAAAACTAATATTGTGTTCGTAATCAGCATGCTCGATTACCTCCTGTGCAAAATCCCAGCCCCGCAGGTCAAACTTTACAAAAAAAATCGATAAAATCGATAAAAGTAATGGACGATCCTGAAAACTAATGTTGTATTCGGAATCTCCATGCTCACTTCCCCCCTGTGCCAACTCGTAGCCCTGTAGGTGAACTTTGCAAAAAAAATCGATAAAAATCGGTAAAATCGACATCGATCGATAACGAAAAGTGGACTGTGACACTCGCCGGGGCCCGAAGTGTATGTGTGCCAAGTTTGGTCCGGATACGGCGGAGCCGGGTAAGCCAGCTAGTGGTAACATAATTTTTTTGTGCAACAAAATCTTCTTACCATCTCTGCATTCTTGGGTGCTAATTTTTCAGAAACCGCTATTCTGTAAAATTTCTGTGGTCGTATTTGTATCATATTTTATGACTATATTCAATGCATCAACTCTCAGCAAGAGATTTTTCGAGAAAGGAGCAAAAAAAAATCATGCAAATCAAAGTCGTTTCCCATCTGTTTCAACAAATGTTGCGAGGTGATGGAAAGAATCCAAACACAATTTTTGAATATTTATATCCAAATCGCTCCGTTATCTTTTTTCGACTTTTAGGCGTTGTTCCCATTCTATACATTTATTTCAAATTTAAATCATTAGTTTGTTGCATTTCTTTTTTCATTTTTCTAATTTATTATCTTGTTTTTCTATCTATCTGTCAAGCAAGCCGCTAGGTCAAGCCCTAGCTTAGCTATCTTTCCTAGACAGAATGTATTAATTTGAACTCTGCACATTGAGTAATACTCAAGACGCTACTCTAGACTTATGTTCAGCCTGTTGTGTCTGGAAATAAGCAAACAACACTTTGCCTTCCTAGATGTACTCACCAGAGAATGTCAATCTCAGAGGCAGGCGACTTATTCGATCAGGTGAACTATTTATGCGCACGCATCGCTGTAGACGAGATTGCGAAAGAAGAGTTGGAGGGGGAGCCATGCGAAAGGTGACAGTTGGAATTTCGCGCCAAAGCAGACGCTTCGCCCTGAGTGGTGAATACAGGTTTCGACACGATACTACAGTTGTAGTTGCTCGCGACTATAGTTGCTTTTAGTATACAACTGCTCGCGTTTTGCATGTAGTATCGTGTCTGCATGTCCTGTGGGGGGGGGGGAGGGGGGGGGGGTATGGGCATTGTAATGAATTTTAATGATTGAACTATTCCTCCCCCCCCCCCCCATCAAATCGTGTCATTCTGCTCAAAATCGATGCCCTCCTGCTCTGAAAGAGGGAAGGGGGGGGGGGCGGGGGAAGGGGAAAGCAGTGCGAAAAACGACATTTCTGATTCCGCCTTAAAGGCAGTGTCTCTCTAAAAATTAGTTGCCGAGATTTTTGCATTTTGCAAGACTGTCGGACCCTGTCTAGCACTGTATGGGCTTAAAATCGCACGAAGTTCCCAACCCCGTTTTCTGGAGGCCCCGCAAAAGCAACGTGGACGAGTTGTGCCTTCCAACTTCAGCCTCAGCCACAGTGGCAGCAACAGAGGGGAGGTGGATGACAAGTGGGACATGTTCAAACGCGTGAGGGGGGAGACCGAAGGAGTCGTCCGCGCGTACCAACTCGCTCTCCGCGTACCACTTTGAGCGAATTTTTCTCAGCGTGGAGGGGGTCAAATTGAGTGGGACTGTTGCAACGGCCCATTTAGAGGTCCTTATGATAGAATATGTGAAGATCCGCGCGACATCAACTTTGGTGAGACACTGCCTTTAAGCTTTAGAGCTTATCAAACTTTATGCTTATCATTATGATGCTCTCAGGTAGTGTTGCTTGCCAAGCATGCAAAACAGAACTGTTTCGCTAATATGCAAAACAGCACTGCGGAAGTTCCTCAAATTTAAGTCCTCGGGAATTCTGCATTTTGCGAACTTTCCGAGGGCATCCCCAGGAAATTTTAACTGTGTTGCTTTTGACTTCAGAGTTTTCGGGAAGTTCCCATTTTCGCGGCTCCATTCACTTACGTGCTAAATGAAAAAATCGGGAAGTTTGGCAAATTAGCTTGCCCCTCGGGAAGTTCCCGTGATTTGTCTAAGAGTTTGCCTGGACGCTGCCTTCAAGAATCAAACTTGACTTGAGGTAGACATCTACCGTGAGGTTGAATTCAAAGGTAAATACCGATGTTGAAAACCTTGGACAGATATGGCTTCTAGAAACACAAAAGAGCGTATTATATGCCTTTGTTAACTACTAATTTTCCGTCTATCTTACGTAAATGGGATGATCTGTGAAAGATTCAATGTTGGTTAAAATTATTTTCAAGATGTGAGATTTCAGAGTATAAATTTTTGCATGAAACTCCACTTTGCTTCTGCAGCGCCAGTGAGGGAAACTTCTGGAGAATTCAAGTTTGCTCCGTTTGCTGATTAGAAGCAGCTACAATTGTAAAATTTTTCAGGAGCAATGCTACAACCTCTGATAATAAGCGCGCAGATCTACAAGGATTACGAGGAGTTGCCATCCTTTTTGTGCTCGTAATGCATTTGTGGCCAAGTTCATATCGCCTTGGTTTTGTAGGCGTGGACATGTAATTCTAAAAATTCTAATCCTCAAAGCCATCTATCAAATTCAAACTTAGCTTTTTTGTGCTCTCTGGATTTCTCATGGCTAAGATACTGCTCGAAAAAAAATTTACGACATGGTCTGTCTGGAGATTCTACACTCGCAGGTTCAAGAGGATTGTTCCTTTGTACATGCTGTTGGCCGTCGCCGTTTATGTTTGTAAGTACTTTCTGCAACGCTCTACCCAATATGAAGTGTACACGGAACGATAACACTTCGTGTTTGTAACAAAGGAAAATGTACAACTCATCTATGTCCTTGCAGATGGTTATTTCTATATATTGCGCCCCGATCGCAAGCAAATCCTTGATGATTTGGCTTGGGTGTACACGTACAGCTCCAACTTGCAGCCAATATTCGAAAAGCTTGGGTATTGGGATCAGGTGCTTATTTCGAGATGAGTGCGTAGAGTTGATGGGCCTAACATGCCACATTTAAGCTATCGACTTACCGATTTTTTGTGCACACCTGGTCCCTAGGGGTGGAACTGCAATACTACTTGATTGTTCCAGTTATCATGGGCTTAGCGTTCTGCTGCGAACATCACGTTCGCTTGATTTTGTTTCTTTCGCTTGGTATATTCTCCATCATTTTTCAACTGTATGCGCCACCCAAGGTAAGTAATGATTTTGTCATGTGCTATGCACTATTAAACTTGCCTAACTCATGTCACTTTTTCATGGAGCTAATTTGTTACTTCTATTACCTTATTTCTCAAAGTATAAGGCGCAGATTCGTGCAGCGCGCGTGTTCTCATTTGTGAAGCCGCAGCCTAAGTAGTGAGTTTTCTACACTTTTTCAATTTCTTGTAATCATGAGCTGTTTTAAAACGAATTTTTTTATCAGTATTTTGCAAAACAGAAATTGCACACGGCACGAACAGTCGTGCTGGACAATTAAAGGCTCTCAGCCGGCCCCCACCAAAAGCGCCGAGTAAGAAGCCGTTGCCTTATTGCCTCACTGTCGCTTCCCGCTGAGAACTTTGCTAGAACTGGCAGTGAACGGGCTGCCGTAGTCTTCAGCGCAAAGCGAAAGTGGCGGCGATAAGGCACGGCCGCCACTTGCGCTTCGAGCTGAAGACTTTATGGCAGCCCGCTCGCTGCCAGTTCTAGCAAAGTTTTTCAGCGGGAAGCGACAGTGAGGCAATGAGGCAACGGCGGCTCGCTCGGCGCTTTTGGTGGAGCCGGCTGAGGTAAGTATCCTCGAAATTATTGAGTTAAGCTGTATTAAGTTAGTATACGTCTACATCTATTGTCAGAGCTACATAGGATACATTTAAGACTGAAGCAACAATGACATCTTAGAAACTTTGAAGAATCCATTCATTTAGCAGTCATTTCATGCCGCGATCCCCTTCCTCTTTCTCCTCTGGTTATTTCTACCTAAATATTGTCAGCCAACAAGCATCCCATTGCTTCAAATTGTTCTAGGGCCTCGGGCAGAGTTCATGCGAATTGATCGTCGCGATTCAATCGCTACAAGACAAGTGTCTCGAGTTCGTTGCATGCCGATCTTCTTGTATTTCGATTGTGGTAGTTAGTCACGATTAGTCGTGTTGGAAAACTATAATATAACAGCCAAAATGCAAGATCGGCGTGCAATGATATTGTTATAGTTGTCTTGTCGCGATCAATCGCGACGATCAAATCGCGTGAACTCCGCCCAAGGCCTAAAGCGGTTTATTGACAGATACATCAAGAAGTTGTTGGTAATTTGTTAATCCTCCTGAAATGAATGCAACCTTTGAAACTTTCTGAACTTCTTCTTTGACTTCATCACTCAAGTGGGGTCTTGCAGAATCATGAATATTGGTCGTTTGGCTCTTCAGCAGCAGTGGGCTTTGCTAGCCAGCACTCCCTCACTCATTCCTTCATAATAGCTTCTGTCATCCATTTCTCTGGTTCACGTTGTCCAAAACTGCTTTCGGAAATATATTCGTCCTTCTGAGTCTTTTGATGATTGACATTGGCTCAAGCTCATTTCCAGCAGTGACAAACAAAACAACGCTTATACAGGGTGTCCCAAAAAAATGTTTCGAACGTTTGATCGTTAATACCTCTCTTCCCAAGAAGTCTTTTGCCTTGCTTCAGGTACCGTTTTGTAGAGCTGGCTTCAACTTAGATTTCCATTAAAGAACGAATCACCCATCTCTCTTCATTACTGTAGGGTTACGGTAGAAACTTCAAAGAGGGTTTTGAACCATGAAAGGCCATATTTTGCCTCAGAAAGGAAACAAAACAGCCTGAAAACTTTTACACCAGGCTAATTAGAATTGCTGATTATAACTGTAAAGTTCCCAACTTATTATGATGCTTCATTGAAGAGTTATGCCAGGTGAGAGGTAGCGGCCTTTTTTTCAATGTTCCTAAAAAGTGCGATTACACCGTTTAGAAAGCTTCGCAATCTTGTGAATAGTTGAGTATTGAACTCAGCGTCTATAAAAGCCCTATTATACAAGTTTTCACAATTTTTTGAAAAATTTTGAAACGGCAGCTTTTTTCACATTGACACTATATGTTTCAAGTTTCTACTGTAATCCTACAGTAATGAAGAAAGATGGGTGATTGGTTCTATAATGGAAATCTAAGTTGAAGCCAGCTCTACAAAACGGTACCTGAAGCAAGGCAAAAGACTTCTTGGGAAGAGAGATATTAACGATCAAACGTTCGAAACATTTTTTTGGGACACCCTGTATACTTTCTCATGCATCCTTTAACGTAACACCTTTCGTCATGTCGCCGACTACATCGAATGAAATAGGTAATTATTACAGCTGCTTAACTTGGCTAAATTCATATTCATCGTTCTCTCCATTACAGCTTTCCTAAATTCGACGCTTATCTTCGGTCCTATAGGAAGCGGCTGCCCAGCTCTCGTTCATTGCATGACTCAAGATCCTTTTCTCTTCATAACGTGTCATTAGGCCCCGGTCAGACTTCATGCGATTTGATCGTCGCGACTAAATCGCGACGAGACAACTGTTACAACATCATTCCATGCCGATCAACTTGCATTTCGGTTGTGATACTTTTCCAGCCCGAAATTTTTGAATGTGAAATGAAAATGAATGGAAATCTCGGCGATTGAATCGCGACGATCAAATCGCGTGAAGTCTGACCGGGGTCTTAGTGAGGTCACCTGTAAAGGCTACATGTTCGAGCCTTCGCGCTATCCCAATTGCTTTTGCTCTTATGCGTATCGTTGTCACCCTTCCCCCAAAACTCTCTGCACAATAATTCAGTCTAACTCTTCTTCCTGCCCAATAATTCGTCTAACTCTTCCTGCAGGGCCAGCATTTCGGGGTGGGGAAGGGGGAGGGCCTCTGAACGCCTTCTTTCCTTGATTACAGTTTTTCAGTCTGTTTTGACCAATTCTCCATTTTGAATCATCAAATGAGCCGCAGCTTTAGCCATTTTATGAGCTGTAGCACTATCCATTGATGTAACTTTGAGGTAGACAGCATAAAATTTTCTTCCATCTGCAAAGAAGAACCATGGCAAGCAAGACACAATCTGAAAAAAGTAATGCGGTAAAAGTAGTTGACTAAACAGGATGTACCCAGCAAATTGCACGTGCGCAATTTTTCAACGTCTCCACTATAAAGGGCTGGCAAATTATTCTTCCATGTCATTCCGTTACCGGTGTAAACTTGCTGCTTATTCTAAATAATGAGTGACCTCTTCTAATCAAAGAGGAAATATATTCATAAACCGGATAGATATTGATTGGTGAAATGAAAATGTAGAGATGAGAGATAATCTTCTCGTATTTCCAACAGCAATGTCAAAAACGGCAATAATAACAACAACGGACAAAGGATTCAGCGTCTTCAATACCCTCTGCGGGCATGCGCCGAACGCACACTACTTCATAGTCGAAAAGGCAGTTGTATGCGTGCGAGCCTATACAGTGACTTGCGGGAGCCAGCCGTTCAAAAAGTCAGTGCTTTTATCCTCCCAAATTACACTGGTACCAATTGACCAGACCTGGAGAGTGGCAAATGTCGGCAAAGCTCCGCCCGCTATAGAGTGGGGAGAGGACGATAGTATTCTCCATTATCCAAAACATTTCTGCAAAAAATGATGTTGCTTCTTTTGCATCTCAGCTTCAGAATGAGTGCCAATCTTCTGCCACGTCCCTACAAAAATTGATATGACATCTACATGTTTAACAAGTTTTACCAAAAGTATGGGTTGCCTATCCGCCAAAGTAGATTGTAAACGTTCACGATACCTGCTGAACTTTTGGTTTAAAGATCATGAAAATAAAAATTGACATTATAAGAATGTCACACTGTGTTTCAAATGAACATCTGTCAAAACGCAGAAAGCGCTAAAATCATGATTTAAACGGCGAAAAAAAGAGCGATAAGCTTTGTTATGCCGCTTAAGAGACTATGGGTGGCAGAAACAGTTTGAAATGGAATTTCTTTGAAAGCATTGCTTGGAACGAGCAAGAGGTAATTCTAATCATCAGTTGCTTTTGAGATAGCTGCACAATTCTAGAATCGCTCAAGTGCTTTTGTGCCTCACAAGGAATAATTTTGGAAGAAATATCTGATATAGTGAATCAAAACTTGTTTTCTCTTGACACGTGGCAAGGAGTCCACATGTATGTAAGCCGATTTTCAGATTATGAAAATATCTTACACTAGCCGTGAGGGGTAAAAAGTATCTAAGTGGTGGCTGGCCTTTAATGGCTCTTGCTTTGCTCCAGCACCTCCAACACTAGATTCGATTGCCTCTATTCATGGAAATTGCTTGTAGAACTCTTGGACGAGTAGTTAGTCTTCAACAACAAATTTTACCAGCAACAGGTTTTTATATGAATATGGGTTTTTGCGTGTACCGGACTGTTTCAACCTTATTCCGTGACCGGGACTTGACTTGGAGAACATATTGTGGTGATTTTCTTGCAAAAACATATTCTTAGCTGAGAACGTGTCTCGACCATCTGGAAATCATAGGCCTGCAATCCGTCAGAGTGGGGAATTTATTAAAATATGATCTGTGTTGGAAAAAGCAAGCAAATTGCTTTCTAGTATTACAAATGATATCGCACTGCGAGAGAAAACCTCTTAAACGGCTGCTTCAAACGCAAGGCAAAAAAGTCGGGCAGAACTTATGCAGCAGCCTAATACATGTTCACTTGAAACTTGCCTGCATTTGGTTGTGAATATGGAAAAACTGTAATAATGTGTAATGATAGAGCAAAGCGATTTATGCTTTATTTTCGTGAGACTCGCTGTAAGCATTCCCTTATAAGAAACATTTTCACGTTAACTTGCCTATCAGCTGCACAGCTCGGAGTCTTGCATCGATAAAATTGATCAAGACGATTAAAACCTCCCAACTTTGGCCATGTACAGCTAGCTCATGTTGTGCTTAACTCCAATTAATTCCGCAGATAATTTCGACAACTTTGAATGATGCCGCAAGATAAACACGATTATTTGCCTCGCTAAGCTTTTTAAGCTCCTCACCAGATGGTTTGCTTATAGGCAGTGTCCAGGCAAATTTGGGCACACGGGTTTTTGCCTGGAAACTGACGAAGAGGTCTAGCTAAGGCACCGCCTAAACGGCAGTGCAAATCACCCATTCACAGCTGAGAAATCCC